AAAGACTAAAAACAGTACACAAAACATAGAAAACTAAAGACTGAGAAAACGGAACCCCAACAAAAACCGGGATAATATCAGGTGATCTAAGGTGTTCCGGGAGGATAAGCAGATCCTGCTCCACATGCGGCACCCATCTTGTTGCTCAAGTAAGTACAAACCTAGTGATAAGTCTACTTCGGTAAGTCACTTTCGGATAAAAGAGAACGAGATTGTATTTATGACAATTGGAACAGATACTTCGTCATCTGTGAAGCAGATATTCCATAACGGTCAACCAACTCGTGATGGCGTCCGTAAAATTTTTCGAAAAAAATGATATCAGCTTCCTCACTTGGAACTCTTGGTTTAACAGCTGTCAAGGAAATCATGATAGGAAATATAATCACTGGAATATCGTATCAAATGGGAGATATATATATTACATATACAGGCGCTGCTGGAATGTTTCGTCATAGAAATGGAAAGTTCAAAATTGAGAGGCTGAAGTCATCGCTTTTGTCGTTAAGTTTTGTTTTCAACCGACCATCATTGTAGATTTATATACATAAGTCAAGATTTGAGGCATTCTTAACTGTATCTGTTGTATTTTTTATATCAAGTTCGATGGGATAGATGTGTTCAACATAGTCACCAGACTTTGAATTATTTAGTGAGAGGACATCATCTATACAGCGGAAAGCGAAGTTAAAGAATTATGCTAACTTCTTATTTTTCTTCCTAATAAAGTTCCTGTATGAAGTCCGCCTGATATGAATAAAGGAACACGTCGACAAGAAAATGATCATATAGTTCCCATGGGATGCCGATTGTTTGTTGAAAAACATGTCCACCAGATATGGAATATATGGAAAATAACCGATTTGTTCATGTTTTTTTATCAAAAGTACTAGTTTTCATTTTTGAAAAATATAGCAATTTTTTACATAGAAGGAGTAAGCTACGATATATTATCACTTTTACATCAAACTTACTGAGTTGTTTTATTTTACTTCTTTTGGGTACTTAGTACATTATATCATTAAATAATATGTCCCGTCATGGCGAGAACTTTTTATTTGATCCCTGATAAAATACGAGGCATACATGTTCGTTGTTTTTTCGAAAGTTCGCAGGTAAAAACATTGCAGTTTAAGAATATAAGTAAGGGCATAATTTACCGCGAATAAAATGCATACCAAAGCATGTTAAAATATTCAAATCATATGATAGTAAGTGTGTGTTATTGCTAATTTCTGATTAACTGTAAAAATTGTCCATGTCTTTTCTAAAGGTTATATGAGGAATCAATCCTTTTCTCCATTTATTAGGTTGAAATGCTTGTTCCATAAAACGTCTATCACGCACAGCTTAACTTCCGACACAAATAATGTTAAGTTCTATTTGTTTATCGCTACTATAAAATGGGTGACTAAACACTTAATTAAATAGTAAATTGGATGGGGAGAGGGCTATAATGTTCTATCCTGATTCTTGGGTTATACAGAAATATTTTATTGACATGCAAAAGAGAGAAAATAGGAATAAATAACCGTAGTCGTATTTGGCAAAACCGTTCGCAATTTTGGGTCCACAATGCTATTAAATTCACATTTTATATGACCTTTTCAACTTTTTTTATTCAAGCGTCACTGATGAGTCTTTTGTCGACGAAACGTCTACTTACAGAAATTTGAGCGTGGCATCTTTGATGAGTTTATTTACAGAAAGTAAATTCAGATGCGATTGTTGAAAAATAGACACAACTGTTAAAACAATTATAGGGATTCTAGTAAATGCGTACAAAATTATAAGCCTGGGATCTTTGATCAGTTATTTAAGGAACATTTCGCTATTTTCTTTGCAGAAATAAAAACATACGAAAAAATAAGATATGAGGCATTTAATACTATAATTCGTTAAATATATGTATTATCTATAAAATCTAAATAATGGTTTAAAGCAGCAAACAAAATATTTTGTATCTCAATATTAATAGTTTTGTGAGAAAAATCGAAAACATTTTTGTATCGAATAAAATCTGAATATAAAATTAAAAAAATCACAAAATAAGATTTAATTAATGTCGATACGGAATTAGTATGAAATAAAACCCCGGGGAATCAATATGGGGATTAATATGCTTAATACGTATATTTCCAGCAGCTATGTTTTTATATGTAGGTTGTTTAATCATTACTACTGAAAATAACTGCTCATTCAACAAATTTAGGATGTCACGAATTACATGTTATCAGTGACACGTCAGCATTTATTTCCCAGATTTTGTAGAGCAAAATATACATTTTTATTCTGTTTTGGTCATTGTTTTTTTTTAATAATATTTCTAAAATCATGTTTGTCCCCTTAGAGTGTATAATTGTCATTTGTGCCATTTCTTTTAAATTTTAAAAGATTTTTGAGTTTAGAAAACTAACAGTCCATGAAAGATGATCATTAATAGGTTGTCATTCCGGATTATACATTCTGATCTAAGACTTGCATATATAAAAAAAGGCAATAGTAGTATACCACTGTCAATGGTCATAAATTGTTCTAACTGAAACAAATCCGGGTCACAAACCAAAACTATGGAAAACATATTAACTATAAGAGGAAACAAAACGGAACAACAGAAACACTGAACTGCTACAAAAACAAACGCCAACATACATAGAAACGGACTATGTGATATCAACTGCTATATTCCTGACTTGGTATTGGACATTTTAAGAAAAAATGGTCGGTTGAACCTGGTTTTATGGCTAGCCAAACCTTCCGCTTATGTGGCAATGTTAAAGATACCGCTAAAATGACATATTACGTGACAGGAATACAGTACAAACAAGTGAAACTGCGAGCTACTGCTCACTGATGATACCCTCGCCGCAACTGGATAATTTTAATAGTGTAAAAATATGCAAGTGTTCGGTAAACAGGAAGTTGTTGAGTGATGAATCTGAAAACGCATCACACGGTATAGCTGATTCATTTAAACCCTGAAACCAAATTTCAGAAATCCTTATGATGTAGTTCCTGAGAAAGATGCGACGAAAAATACTCATGACTGACGGATGGATGGATGGACGGACGGACAGACAGAGGTAAAACAGTATATCCCCACTTTCTTTAAAGCGGGGTATAATAAGTGCAAGAACATTCAGGACAGAGAAATACATAAATAAATAATATGATAGTACATAAAAATCTATTGTCTGATCATTTAAAGTTAACGACCAATTATGTGTGGAAATGTAAAATTTAGAACGTTTGGTTCTTTGACTTCTTTGACTTCTGCATATGGAGAATATATCTCCCAGTCTATACGATATTCCAGAGCTTGCATTTGCTATCATAATTATCTCGATAGAGAGATGCTGTTCATGTGAAAGCTATTGAACCAACAGTTCCATGTGGTGAAGTTAAAATCATCCATCGAAAATCTTAGGGATGCTTGCACTAGTTGGTTGACTGTTATGGAATATCTGAATATCTGAATATCTGGTTCGTAATGCTCAGTCTTTAGTTTTTTATATTGTGTTTTGTATACTGCATGTTGTTTGTCATTTGGTGAGTTTATCTTCGTTCTTTGCCATATCGTTGTCAGTCTATTTTCGACTGATGAATTTGAATGACCCTTCGGTATCTACTTATTATTTCCCAATAGAAGCTCTGATTTTATGTCTTCCTCCTTTACGAATTAAAGACAGGACGTCAAGAGGAGTAGCTGGTTATCGGATAATGAAAGAATTCTCTAGATCTTAGCATTACCTCTATGATTTGATGAATCATGATAATATTAGCCTCTGCGAACATTTTGTTTCACGCAGGATGTCTTTATTTTTTTGGAAAGTATAATTTGTTTCTTAAACGTGTTGTTTTCATTTTTTACAGCACTGGGTCGATACCTCTGCTGGTGGACTATCAGTCCCTGAGTGTATCATCAGCCTAGTAGTCAGTACTTCGGTACTGACATGATTTATAACAAACCTATCTAAAGTGTCCATTTATAAATTTTGAAATTATAAAAAACTAAGCTTTCCACTCCCTCGGGCAAAGTTGACCATAGATGGACTTAGCTATTATTTTGGTATTTTTTTGTCAAATAGCTCCTCAACTATTTCGGTTCTCATACATCCTTGGCTTTCAAATATTCGGCTTTTAGCGGTCCTGATGAAGGTAAATCCAGAAAAAGCGCTTCGGACGCACGAACTTATGTAATTTTTGTTTTATTATTTGTTCCTTATTGAAACAAGCTCATCAAATAAACCAGACTTATCTATACTACTAACGAGGTCCATTTATTTTTTTGTTAAAAAACTACATCATTATATACCCTTTTATTTTCAACATTATGAATATAACCAATAATTAATAGGTTCCGGGTCGATTCCGATATCGATATCGATATCAATAGTATATGTCAAATGTAATTTCCTGTTGTAGATACCTATTATCTTCTGTAAATCGCTCCTCTATCAGGAGAACCTGGAATTCTTCCAGTGGTTGTTATATGTTTATGTTAAACTGCAGTACACTATTTAACAAGTCTTCCACCTCAATACCACTTTTAATTTTGATTAATTAGTTGAAAAAATAAATTTAGTTTATAGTTAGATTATTGTCGTAAGCAAACCAGGACGGGTTCAAACAGAAAAATTTGAAGCAAGAGAAAATTATGCACCTTACTATCAGCATGACTTTATCAGTTGAATACTGAAAATCCAGGCTAAAAATAAGGCATAGGTATTTAAATTCTGTCACGGATGTCGCGGTTGTGTTCTAATAGTTTGTATCATCCGGATAAAGCATCTAATAACAAAAACTTCATTGACTTAGAAATGATAAAGATACTAGAAAGAAACTCTTGTGGTTATTAATAGGTAAAGAAAGTATATATGTGTGGATTTTAGTACACAACTCTTCGCTTACCAAAGGTTCTAGAATACAACTTATTTGATATAAATAAATTCAAATTAATAGCATCTAAAACTCAATGTGGTTTTTATTGATATTATAAGATGTTCAATAAACCTCAGGTATATTAATTATTGATATTACCACGAAGATAAACATCCATTTGATATTGATACGATAGAAGTTTATTTCAATTTGAATCGGGAACAATATACCTCAGATTAATCTATTATTATGTAATTATTTGAAATCTGCCTGGCAGATTAGATCACATCTAATAAGTTGATTATTTGTCTATTGTAATATCTTATAATATTGTTCTCTGTTGTTTATTGTGTGTCACAATGTAAATATGTTTGTGTTGCTATAGCATGTAACTACTGCTTTGCAAATAAAGAATTCATTCATTCATTCAATCATGTTGAATACATATTGGTTCAGCAGTTCAACTTAGAAAATGTGCTCTGCAAATGTAAAATATATTTCGTCAAGTTCGTGTATAATGTAACAACAATGACAATTACGTGTCGTTACCGGTAAATTCAGAACCAGTAGTCTAAAGAAATCTATACCTGCATATAAAGCTAGTTCTCAGGAAGAGAGAAAACTGAACTTTAAAGATACAGATTTTAAATGCATAGTTATTACTACTGCGAGAATAGAAGATAATAACCTGAAAAGACAAGTTTTTGATAAATGAGGGTGTCCTGTAAAGGAGAAATGATTGCATTCGACGAAAGTTTCTTAATCTTCATTCCTATAAAATTTTGAAAGGTTTAACTAGTTAGCTACAAAGATTCAAATGGTGATCATGCACCACTTAGATTAAGTGTAACCTTTGGTAGCCTTGTTATTTAAACTTTGAAATAAAAGGAGAAAAGCTTATACATAACCTTGCAAACAACTCCCTCGGTCAAATTTGACCTCAGAGGGATATGGCTATTATTTTAAGGTACTTTTCATTCATATAGCTCTTTAACTGTTTCGGTTCATATACATCCTTGACTTTCAAACATTCTGCTTTGAGCGTTCCTGATGAAGGTAAATCCAGAAAAGCGCTTCAGCCGCATTAAATCAAAAAGTGTTGTTTTCATTGTAGGGGTTGTTTATTAATAATGATTACAATTTGCAGACACTTTAAGCTTTATATATATAACTCACGACATACAGAGGCGCTATATATATTGATTGATTGTTGGCTGTTTAACATCCAGTGGCAAATATTTCATGCATATTCAAGACGAGAACAGATTACGGTATTTTCGTAATAGGAAACTATCTATGGTAATTTGTGACGTAGTTTTTCAATAATAGCAAATCTTATTATAAGGGCATCCATCAAAGTTACGAAGAGAAACAGCATCCCTATATTAAGGAAATCACGAAGAAAGCCAAGCCATAAACTATCGTACCAGTTAGATATATGACAACTTCATATTGCAGGTGTTGTTAAAATGGTGCTACATAGAATTCAAAACTTAGGTTCGAAAAATCTAATTTCTATTTTGTCTTAAAGTTAAGTTTTAAAGCACCTACCATTTTCAATTTCTAGATGAAAGTCAGAAATGAGACAGACTTAAATGTATCAGTGGTATTTCACTTGGAAAAGATAAGATTCACACAGTCACCTATTTTTCATGCTAAAGTTAATTAGCTATGCGAACAGTGTGTACTTTCGTTGATGTTTAGTATTATTCTACCACCACTGAACAGGTAATTTTATTCATTAATAAACCAATAGCCCTTGTTATACTCCTTGGAAAATATTTTCATTAATTTGTTTATGAATCATTTGTAATTAACTATTGAAATCATAAGAACATAATCAATTCAATAAAATTGAGAATGGAAATGGGGAATGTGTCAAAGAGACAACAGACAAAGTTCATTTATTTGTGTAATATTATTACTTGTCAAGTCGCACAAAAAGATATAAACGTTAATCTTATAATCTAATTCTATTACGCATTCGAGATTCGCTAAGTGACATCTTGCATGAAATAAACATATATAACAAGTATGAGTATATTCTATTCAAAACAGCAGGACATGTAAATAAATCTGATAAAAAGTAAACAACTAAGGGCAACAAAGCTGCATCAGTTTAATGAGATATCCGTTTAATACGGTCGTCATTGTTTTTGAAACACATTTCTTGTGTTTAGTGTGTGAATATTATAACAACACAGCTTGGTTTTAAAAGCTAATCAACGTTTGAAATAGGCATTTTGGCTTTCAAATAATCACTGAATAGACTTAATTGTTGTCGTATGCGTTTTTGGATAGAAAATAGCGAAAATAAGGTCAGAATAAAATAAATCTCAAAGTTCTTACATTTTAACCATTCATAAATAACAAGCAGGAAAAACTAATGCATACATGTATTAGTTAAGATCTGATTTTTTCCCCTCCTTTTTGTATTCATTGTACTTCAAAAAAATTAAGCAATATAATGAAATGCAAAAACATAAGCTGAATACAATCGTAATGGAAGTAAAAAGCAAACATGGGATATTAGATCTAATGTAACCTTCTGTATAAAAGTAAAGACAGATATATGTCTTTTAAGTTTTTTATGTGATATTTTAGTTAGTAAACAACTAATCTGTTATTTTTAAGACGCAGCATTGATGTATATTCTCTTGAAATCTCATTACGATGAGAAATAAGAAATGTAGTGTTCAACGTGTGAAACAATATTCTTTGGTCTTTCAATATTGACAAGAAAGAATTTCAAAAAAAAATGTGAAATTAAAAGACGGGAAATGGATACTAGTAAACTGAAATACATTTCTATATATATATATATGAATAAGACAAGAAAATGTTAACAATAATCAAAAATGCGTTGATACATATTGTGACGCAAAAAGGACAATATTCAAAGATCTTACTACAATTTTAAATTGAGAACCTTTAATTAGAGGGCATTAGCTGCCAAATTTATGATCACCGATTTGACTTAAATTCTCATATTTGATTCATAACATACACAAACGTAAATCCAAATTACAAAAAGTTCAAAAGAAACAATTAACAATACATGGACTAGATATAATATATCAGCATTTCGTGCGTATTTTATACTAGACGCCATCTAATTAAACATCGAGATTACCTCCGAAGATTGGCGATAGTCATTCGGCCGAATTTTAACAAAGACATAATTATAAATAGACCGAGAAGCACGTGGAGTTGTGTAATTATATTTGTCAATGTCATATATTTTTATCCTGGATATGAATGATTTCATGTGGGCCGTCATTGTTTTTATGGGGGATCACTTGTTTAACGTTTTAATGTTGACATTAGTTTCTTTTTAATAACTGAACACGCTTAGGACATTCGTAACCCATCTTCCGCTAAAGGTCAAGTATGGGTTACATGAATATAGGTTCACTTATTTTGAATTATAGACTTGCAAGTCAATAATATGTTTGCGATGTTTTTGATCTTATTTTGACTAAAGTAAACCGAATTAACTGCTAATTGAGAATTAGTATTTCATTCCGTTTTTATAACTTTTTCAGACAAACAAATCTTTTTTTTTTTTTCTTTTTTTTTTTTTTTGTTGTTTTTTTTTTTCTGTTTTGTCAAAATGGCAGCTATTGTCCCTTTACAAATAAGTTTATTCAAAGGATCAATACGTTAACATGTGTCGTTTCTAAGTTAAAGGGCACTAATTACGTTATTTATAGACACAAAATACATCAAGACAGATAATTATATTACAAACATGCCTTTTGTTTATGAAAAGTCAAATTTAACAGACATACATATATGGATACTCAGTGGCGTATCTCCTCCTCCTTGCAGCGTCGATATCAACAGACATAAATACCTGCATACTTAGTAACGTATCTCTATCTATTCGTACTCTCACTACATCTGTATAAACAGACTTAACTATCTGCATACCCATCTCCCCTTCTCACAACGTCTTTGTAAAATTAAATACAAATTTGTAAAAGCAGGTTCATTTAGTAAAGGTTATCAAAACATGTTTCTGTTTATATAAATAGATTTATTTGTGTATTTGCTAAGATGAAATCAAATTTAAGTAACCGTTTTATGAAAACCTTGATTTGGGTAAAAAAAACATTTTTTCTTTATTTTTTTTTTATTTTTTTTTTGGGGGGGGGTGGGTCTGTTATGGACAAGAATGGGAAAAGATGAGGACGCAAAGAGGACAATGAAAACACTAAGCTAAATGCTAAACAGAATATGAATATGGAAATGTTGTATGATTGTCAATGCGACAACTATCTAACAGTCCAAATGAAGTAAATTAAACCAACTATAGGTCACCATGCGGCCTTCAACAATGACCAAAACCAATATCGTATAGTCATCCATAATAGGTCTCAACTTGACAAAATGTGAGACAATTCAAACGAGAAAATCAACGTCATGATTTAGCCCATGACAATACAAGAAAACAAATATGACAGACAACAAACAACGCCAACCACTGAATTACAGACTTAGGACAGGCACATTAAGAACGTGACGGGGTTTCACATGTTTGTGAGCGCTCATCATCGCTTTGACCCGCCAAAAAAAAATTTAAACAACACCCTACAAAACACTACACAAGGAACTCACAGTTTATCAAAACGAGCTCAGGTTCTCCTTAAGGGTACTTAATGAGTAGTTTACGTTTCATTAGAGGTACAATAGAAAATTCCAAATTTAATAACCTTCACGACGGCAATAAAATTCTTAAACTATAATTCACTAAATCAATAATTTAAAACAAATAAATTGCTAGACAAATCTACTGTGCAGTTACTTCCTGTTTTATAATACTTTGAATTTTTATTAAACCTTCTGGGCATGAATTTTGATTATTCATATGTTTCTTCTCAGGTTCTGTAGCAAGGAATGATTTAATATATGGTCTGGAATTTTATAATGTAGTTTTGTACTACGTAAACATTTGTGTATAACCTGTCGGCATGACATTTTGTCTTTACATATATCTCAGCAGAGCTTATACATGTATATAAAGGAGGGTACTATATTTCTGTAATGTTCCGTGGTAGCGATTTCCAAATCTTCCGGGCAGTCACTTCCTGTTTGACTATACTTTGAATATTTATTTTACCGATTAAGCATGGAATTTTTCGTCAATTTCTGACTCTGACTAATAAACAGTGGGTTCTGTTTTTCACGATATCGCATTTATCTTCTTCATTGTAACCTTGTTTGCGGGAAATATAGTTTTAGTAAAGATAAAGAAACGACTTTTTTTGTTGGAATGCGGACGATTGTTCTTAAAAATTGTAATTAATTTATTCATTTCAACTACAATCTATTTTTATCTTGCTTGAAAAGACTCAATTGACATATATTTGCCAATGAATAGAAGAAACTAAGAAGGAACACCACAAGACAAATCAATTGTTAAAAGAAGTTTTAAGTCAGAATTACAGGAAATCTGTTAACAGCTGATTGTGAAAATCTATATCAAGGCCAGCATGGACTCCAAACAGTTGAATAATAACAAGTAAAGATAGATTTTCACTTACTATAATTTCTGATTATGTCGATGTGGGCTTGTCCAAAACAAAAACAAAAAATAATAAAAATACCGAACTCCAAAGTAAATTCAAAAAGGGGAAGTCTATGAAATCTGACTAAATTAACCTTTATCAACCAACGGAACGAACGGAAAATTTACTTTGATAAATCCAAATCATATATTCTAAAAAGAACAGTTGTTGACGTAACCGAAGTTTTCTATGGAAACTACCCCCCTTTTTTAAACTGATTAATGCGTTTTATTGCTATCGTTTTTATTTGGTACTTTATTTTCAGAATGTATTTGATACAGCTTTTGATGCTGGAGGAAAGGTCAGTTCGGGACTAACAGCTACAACCATAGTATCACAATGGACATGGGCTGCTACATTACTGCAATCTGCTACTGTTGCCAGCAAGGTACGCCAATATCACAATTTGTTTTCTTATTACAAATTTATGTAAGGTCTCGGAAAATTGGTTGTAACAGCAAATGGATTCCTTGAAGCATTAAGGGAGCTACCATTTGATTTTTATGGGGGGTTAGGATGAAAAATGTTGTCCTGCATTTTTATTAGTTGTAATCTCTGTTCTGCCATTTCATTTTTCACTCTATTCGGTCCTGCCATTTTTTTTATTAGATTATCCTGACTTTTTTTACATAAATTGTCATCTTGCCTTTTTTTCAAATTTCATCCTAGTCCCCCCCCCCCCCCCCCCCCCCCCCCCCCTATAAAAATCAAATGGTAGCTCCCTAAACAAGCATACATTTACCAACATGTTCATTGGCTTTTTATTAAGGAATAATATATTATAATGTTACTATAAAGTTAAATACAATTTGTGATTTTTTAGTTCATTTATATGTTTTGGAGTTTAGTATGACGTCCATTTTCACTGAACTAGTACACATTTTTATTTAGGGGCCAGCTGCTGAGGCCCGCCTCGGGTGCGGGATTTTATCGCTGCGTTGAAGACCCGTTGGTGGCCTTCGACTGTCATCTGCTCTTTGGTTGTTGTCTCTTTGACATATTCCCTATTTCCATTCTCAATTTTATTGTACTTAAATCATTAAAGTATAAATTGAAAATTTGTTTTCGGCGATTGACAAAAAAATGTCTACCGCAAAGTTTAACTATGGCCTTAGGTGTGTGACGAGGAAGCATCCAACAAGTTCCAATGACTTTATAACATTTCAATTCGCCAATAACATGTTCAACGGAGACTCGGTATTCTGCGATGAGTCTGTTGAGCCTCCTACACTTTCTCTTTCTTGTGTTCCTGCTTTCTGGTTATCTGCTGTCTGGTGTATGTCGTGTATGGCTAATGAAATAATGCAACGTCTTCTCTTGATGAGGATCAGGAGCCACTCACATATGTATGAGCAGTAGAGGAACCTGAACTTCAAAAAATGGATCATGTGCCTGACAATATAGATATAAATACAGGCGACGCTACAGCGAAAGCTGAAGAAATTGCCACATATAATCACTGTAACCGAGTACGGCAGAAAGTGATTTTCCCCCGATTATAGTACTGATTTTCTCCGATTGATTACTGATTTTCCCCGATTTTCCTATGTAGAGATCACCAAAAGGGTAATTATATATGAATTAAAGAAAATCTGTGTCAATAATTATGTAACCTTCCTTTTCATTCCTACATTCTTATCATTGACCTCCCATGGGCAATCTGGATTTTGATGACCAATCCTAAAAATAGAAACTTTTCTGAAGCAAGGATCGAAGTCATTGGAAGTGATTTTCTTATATTATTCAAATATCTAAAAGTGTTACTCTAACTATAGAATACTTATTCAAATGTGCAAATTAAGTCGACTTAGATCTGGAAGTACTTTTTTATGAAGATTAGGAAAATACTAAAAAAAAATATGATTTCAATTTCTGATGCAGTGTACTGATTGTCCACGATCAGTGTACAGATTGTCCCAGAGAAGATGAAGTTAATTACAGATTTTCCCCGATTTTCTCTTATAGTATCATAAGGAAAAGGGTTCATTCTAAGTTTTATTTTTAACTGTTACTTGCAAGAAAATGTCAACATACAAATGCTTTAATTGCTTTCTAAAAACGTCATCTTTGAAAAAATAGTAGATCACCATCAGAAGACATGTTTATCTGAGAAACTTGTCATTTGGAGAAGACTTGAAGAGGGTAGCGAAAGAGATTATAAAAGCAGACCATACCATACATTCATTCCAGAACTTCTTGACAGAGAAGGAAAAACTTTAAAATACAAGATGAAAATATTTTAATTTGTAACTAATCAACAAATACACCACAAAAGATCATAAAAAAAATCATTACAATATCTGACCATTTCAGACAATTTATCAAATTCACTAAACTATGAATCCAGAAATATACAAACAGTAAGTAATGAACACCAAGCAAGAAGAAGCCTGTTTAAAGTTCCTGAAACAACCAATGAAATATCCATGAACAAAAAATCTGTAATTCAGTTTTATATATATAACATCATAGAATTACAGGTTTGCATGAAAATTTATTTTTTCCTTATATTCCACTATTTATTATTAGCACATGCCTAAGTGTAAAAAAGATCCACATATTAGCTTTATTTTTGAAGGATTAGCTTTTTTTAAATCGGGGACAATCTGTATAGGTATCAGGGGAAATCTGTAATCAACACAAGCTGATCGGGGACAATCTGTACACAAAAGCTCAAGTTTAATTGCTAGTTTTTTTCCATTTAAATGCTTATTTTGTCCAAATTTCTACTTGCATTTTTCAGATTATTATATTTGAAAATAATGTCATGAAAAAAAATCTAATTCATACTCCCAGTTTTCTTAAAGCAGACTAAAACAGAATTTATTTGACTCAAATCAGCTGCAACAGCATCAAAACAAAGAATAAGAGAGGTCATGATGTAACTTCAAGGCAATCCCACCTCAGGATATCACTTACTAATGATTACTGACCAGACAGAATAAATCATCTTTAACCAATTGATTAATTCAAGCTATTTAAATTAAATAACAGAGCTATAGTGTAAAATTTATCATGAAAAATCAGTACAAAATCAAGGAAAATCAGTACTATAATCGGGGGGGGGGGGGGGGGGGGGGGAATCACTTTCTTCCGTACTCGGTTACAGGTAGTGATAATGCTACTGATGATATTTATGATGCTCTTGTGAATCTTGAAGCTGCAAGAACACCCCCACCCCCACCCCCGTAAAAAAGAAATAAAGAATGTGTTTCGAAGTAACCATGATAGATATTAAACAAACACCTTAATTACTAAACAGGTTCCAAAATTGTTTAAAAGCCTCGGAGTTGATTTAAAATATTCTGGCAACTGTAAAACAATCATACAGAAAACTTAATGTCTATTCCAAAAAATAAAATCACATTTCATTTGCCTATATGTACAATTCTTGCCAGATAATTATAAAATTTATATCAAAGGTTTTTTATCAAGAATGTCTCGGACACTTCGAAAATCAGTGTTGATCAACTATCTTTAAAAGAGATAGTCTTTTGGAAATACATATTCTATAGAAAAATGCGTCTTTTGGAAATACATATTCTATAGAAAATTGCGTTGTAAGTCCTCCCACGCGGACAATCACGTGGATGATAAATTAATAATATTCATAAACACTATGCTTTATTTATGAAATCCATGCCTATTGTATTACAGACTATAGTTTTCCTGATTGCGATGGAGATGTAATGATCTGGTCTGGATACTGATTAATATAATTATTGATAGAATTTGAAATTGATTTTCTCAAAATTAGTATTAATTAATGTGAAAAATTATATAACATTGTACAAGGGCGTCTGAAACGGAATTCAGACAATCAAAATTAATTGAAAACGTGTTATTTGCATACAAACAGCGTACTATTATGTTCAATAATTAAAGATTTTGAATTTAATTTGATGATGGTCCCAACAGACACATTAAAATAAAATTTGCTTATAAATTTCTGAAAGAAATTGATTGATGGTTAATAGTTAATTGCTAAATCACTTTGCTATGGAAAACCGACATTGCTGTTAAATAAGTACGAATATTTTATTCACATAAGCATAATGTTACAGAGAAATTAGTGTACAATTATAATATGATAATAATAGTGCGTACGTAAACAAGTAAGAATACATTTTTTCGCAACAAAAACAGTAAATTTGATGGTGTATATTTTTTAACACAATTCAAACCAGTCAGGAGGACGACGTTCGAAGATACATGTTTTGGGGGCCCTTTATAGCTTACTGTTCGGTGTGAGCCAAGGCTCCGTGTTGAAGACCGTACTTTGACCTATAATGGTTTACTTTTATAAATTTTGACTTGGATGGAGAGTTGTCTCATTGGCACTCATACCACATCTTCTTATATCTAATTAATATTTCTTGCAAGTTTTTCTATTGCAACAATATCAGTTAAGGCGAAGTGTACGTAATATAACTACTCCACAGATTTTTTTATATTTTACATGTGGATTCGACTTGTAAAATTACATCAGAATATAAAATAAAAAAAAGGGGGTAACCGTTTTCGTTTTTCAGATACAAGCTGTTAAAACTAACAGCATGATACGCCAGAATTACAAAGTATATAGGGAAAATCATAAAAAAAACTGCATATATTTTTACTTTATCATGATTTTCTAATTCGTCAACAGAATTTTTTTTAAATTCGAAATGCGATTCAAAAATAAACGACGAATCCATTGGTGCAAAGAAAGGCCTTAGCAACCGTGCTAGTTTTCAAGCTATATTCTCTTGAAGTTTGATTTTTAGCGGAAAATTATAAAATATTCGACGACGTTATTGATGTCTGCTGTAACGTCACCACAAATTCTACTCTATAACGCTAGTATACCCACTGTCCTGTACAGTATTGTCATACAAATCGTGAGTGTGTGTAACACATTTTCCTAAGTACTGGAAATTCTAAAAAATGGTTGATAATGATACAAACTGATACAAACTGAAAAATGTTTAAGGATATTTCTGCTGCCAAAATAATTTAAATTGGCAAATAAATATACTGCAAGTGAAAGAAAGTTACTGGTTAGACTTTAACTCCATCTTTTCTTGATTAGACAGGGTTAAAATGTGAAGAGTCAAAAATTAATTTTATGGTTCAATTAATTCAAAATAAATTATTGTCATTCATTATAAATAAATTTCTATCAAAAATAAGGCTCAAAGAGCTTTTTATATTATTTATATTAACAATAACAACGTACACACATGTTGGCGTATGAATACACAACGTCAGAGTGGGCGTGTCGCCATAAAAATTGACAACATTGAAAATAAAGGTAATACTTTTAACCAATCAGAAGACAGTAAATACACCAAATTTATTTATTCTGAGATAAATGTCACAGTGCTAAATTCTTAGTTTTTGTGTAAT